TTAAAATGAGGTATATAATGATTTCCTGGTCTTCAAAGAACTTGTAATTCATGGGATAAAAAAAACTAACATACATTATACCTTAATGAATATGGAAATTATTGTATTCAGTATATCAATAATGGAAGGAAAGAGGCAGGCACACACCCACTCTGCCCCTGACACTGTAACAAATGCTTTGTGTACTAACGTTATGTTAACTTGGATAAAACAAAATACACCTAAATGTATGACTCAAACATGAAAAACTATGGAAAGTAAGAAAAGAACTTGGCTGGCCTGAGGCTTAGTGGTTAAGGGAACTAGATCCCACTTGGTTGACACAAGGTTCAAATCCTGGCCCCAGTGGCTTGAAAAACATACTGGGCATGTCTATGTGTGCCCCAAATCCTGATAGGATAGAGAAATAGAGGAGAAGGGATTGCTATGTGACCATGCCCTACTGGAGAAGGAAGTGCTTTGTCTCTCTCTGGCAGGTGCATGTGCCCTCTTGGGGGGAGGAGGGGAAGAGAAAAAGAGAAAGGAAGAAAGAAAGGAAGGAAGAGAAAGAAATGAAAGCCCAAGTGTGCTTCATGGGATAGCTTAAAATTCATTTTGTCTGACATCTGTTAAGATTTTGAAAATAAATCTTGAAAGTATGGTATTAGGTATGATCCTGTTTTAAATGCTCTGGTTGATTAGTTTAAAACCTGCGGGTATGGTGTAAGTAATTCCATTATACAGAGGAGGAAATTTAGTCTCAAAGAATGTAATCAACCTCCCGTTAACCTGAGCCAGGATCCACTTCCAAGTCATTTGATTATTTGACCAAAGACTGTTCCCCAGCAGGACACTTCATAGCAGCTGGGATTGCTGGCAGAAAGGCAATTCCTCCCTTGTCAAAGAGCTGTGCTCGCAGTCTCTTTGCAGTTTTGTAGGATGATTTGTCTTCAATTAGAAAGTAGTTTATAACTGGGCACCAAGTGGTCAATAACCACATTTGGGCTCTTTTTTCAATTACTGTTTAACTTCGCTACTTGAATAAGATACAAGACTTCAACTCTGAAAGGGGGGACAGACAGGTCCTTCAAAGAAGTTCTATTTGAATGCTGATTGACTCTTATCAATTGGAAAACCTGAGTAAATTATATAACCTTTCTGAATCTGTCCTGCTGGGATGCTTTGAGAATTAAGAGAGAAAGAAGCGTAGTGAGGATTCAGCAATTGTTATTTGTCCCCCTGCCACTTCGATATTTAATTGTTAGAAAGAACTAATAGAACTTAAGGGAAATGCCCTTCATACAGAGGGAAGTTCATTATTCCCTCTTAAATATAAACTAGTGGTTCTCAAAGTATGACTCTTAAAGCAGCAGCCTCAGCACCACCTGGGAACTTGTGAGAAATGCTCTTTGTTGGCCCCAACAGCAGATCTACTGAATCATAATTTTAGGAGTGGTGGGCAGAAATCTGCTGTATACATGTCCTTCAAGTGATTCTGCTCCAGGCTAAAGAGAACCACACTTAGTACCATCAGATTCTTTGAATCCTACGTCACTGGTATTTTTCCCTTCAGCCCATCCCTTGCAGCAAATGCTTTGAACAAAAGGAAAAACCATAGATTTCTTAAAAGTGTTTCTCAAAGTATGATCTACAGTCTATTTGAATAAGAATCACTTGCAATTTTTAAAAATTTTATTGATAGATTCCCAGTCCCCACACCAGACTGTAGAGTTGAATCTCTATACCTAGGACCTTGAGATCTGCATTTTACAAGGTCCCTTGATGGTCCATCCATTAACTAAAGTAGAGAATTGTTGTGTGACAATAAGCATAGCAGTATCAGTAAGACTTTCAGGAAGCATGAGGTGAAAGGAATGACCTTTTCTACCCCCATTATTATGAGATTCTCACATCTACTGCTGGCCATAAGTGGGGCTCTAAAATATAGTTAGCCCATGTTATTGGCATTGAGAACTTCATTGAGACTAGGATTTTACTAAAGCAAGAAGCTAAGGTAGTAGCTGTGAGCAAGGAGGCCCATGGAGGCCTTTCAGTCCAAGCCTTACGACACTAGACTTGGACTGAAAGGCTGGAATGGCAGAATTTGTGTGTCAGGAGGACCTCAAGAGACTGCAGGAGAAATATTTATCCCTCAGGATCCTGTCCCAGACAAACTATATGCACAGATTCTCAGAAAGTTTGGGGAAAAAAAATCCTCAAGGATGTCAGGTAAAATAGTACAGTAAGAACTCCGAAAATGAATTCCTCCTAAAAGCAATGAAAAAAGTGCAAAATTGATTAAAATCAACTTTTTCAGAACTCAGGAAATAACAAAGGCTTATAACAACTGGAGAGTTATTCAGGAAAACTAGCTGACTCTCTGCAAGAATAGATTTGTATGACATTTTAAACATCCTAATGCCATTCCCTGGTCTCTAGCTCAGCAGGA